TGAACTAATTTTGTTTTACGAGAATGTTACGAGATTTAAGACAAAAAAACTCCCGTAGCAATTCCTGTTTCCATTTGGTCGTTCTTAAATATAACTTGGCAGTCAGAGTTTGGTTTAAAATAAACCGATGCAGTTAAGTGACTCAGAGACAGAGATGGGATGCTTGATTGTAACGGGGTCTGCCTGAGGTGAGTGGCTGTCCAGACAATACCTCCTGTGCGTGTGCTTCAGGGGGAATTATGGTTCAGTTGTTGGCAACCATGTTTGTGAAAACAGCTATTTAGCCATTCTAAAGTCGCTCTAGATTTATTGCTTACAGTCTGAACATGAGGCTGAATTATTTTACATTTGTTCTCAAAAGCTCTTCAAGATGGCGTAACTGGCAAGATTCCTGGGGAAGCTGTGGCCAACAGTAGCCATTTTAGTTACCTTTCCATTGCCATGACCAAGGCCACTTAGTAAAGAAAACATTTAGTTTGGGGGCACACAATTCCACAATTCCATGACCTTCACAGCAGGGAGCATGGCAGTCAGCAGACAGGCATGGTGCTGGAGCAGTAGCTGATAACTTAACATGCTGATCCAGGAGGTAGAGGGTGGGGGTTGCTAACCAGGGATGGCATAGGCTTTTGAAACCTCAAAGCCTATTCTCAGTGAGGCATCTCCTCCTAATCCTTCCCAAACAGTTCCTCCAACTGAAGACCAAATGATCAAACATAGGAACCTGTGGGGGCCATTCTCATTTAAAGCATCCCAGTGATCTATACAGGAGCTTCCTTCCACTTGTCTTCTGGAAAGTTCTGTTGTGAGTACTAGAGGATTTTTCTATGAAATTTTTGGTCATCAGACAAGAGTCTTCAGGTCGCAGACTTTCCAGATAAATGGTTCTTGTTATTCCTTAACACCATGAAAAGGCATGGCTTTTATATATATATATAAAATTTTAACCTTATGTGTATGAGTGTTTACCTGCATGTATATATGTGCGCCACATGCATGCTTAGTCCCCACAGATCTAATCCCTGGTCCTCTGCAAGAGCAACAAGAACTCTTAACTGCTGAGCCAGCTCTCCAGCCCCTGTAAAGGCATGGATTTTAAAAGAGAAATTGATGGAGAATTTCGAAGCAAAACTATATTAAGAGTATGTGCTTTGTGGCCATTCAAGATGGCTTAGTAGGTAAAGGTGCTTGGTACCAACTTGGCCTGAGTTCAGTCTCTGAAGCCAGCATAGTGGAAGGAGAAAATTGACTCTCATAGGTTGCCCTTTGACCTCCAAAAATGCACTGCCATGCTCACCCACAGATATACAATAAGTGAATGCATAATTGTAATTTTAAAAGACATTATTTCTTTTTTCAAAATTAAAATTTGACATCTCCAATTTCACCCCATTTTTAATTTTTATTTTACTTTGTGTTTTGCCTACATGTATATAACTGGGCACCACATGAGTGCCATTGCCCATGGATGCTATAAGATGACATCAGATCCCCTAGATCTGGAGTTATAGGTGGTTATGAGCCACCATGTAAGCACTGGGAATTGAACCTGGGTCCTCTGAAAGAGCTGCCAGTGCTCTTAGGCACTGAGGCATGTCTCCAGCCCCTCACCCTATTTTAATAGCATGTGTGAATTCATTTGTACCTGTGATGCCAACAGGTGACTTAGCTACGAATGATGCACCCTGGGCTCCATATAATAGAAAGATACCCAATTTCTTAGTAACTGGGTAAAACTTTAAAAATTCATTTCTAAGTGTAATCCTAGGAATGCATAGAATATGTAGAACTGGCTTGTGTTCATAAACCTTTGCTTAAGACAAAGCAGGGGTTTTTCAAAGCCTTTCTTTTGTATGTGGTTCCTTGTAAACGATATGGAACGAGGTAAGTTATCCACTTGTGAGATCTACTTTTAAAAACTATTCTCTACAGGCCTGACATCTTTGACTATATCTGCTTGTTTTGATATTATTGGTAACCTTTGATCACTTTCATTAAAAAAAGAAAAGAAACGAAGAAAAGAAAGAAGAGAAAGAGTAAGGGGTTGAAATCAGGAGGGAAGATAGTTACAAGCCAGATGGTTAAGGTAGGAAGCTAATGAGTCCTCAACTCAAAGCCACTCACAAATCCGGAGCCCTCCCTGAATTCCCTGTTAGAAACATGCCTTTGAGCACTGCCATTCTCCCTCTTGGAAGGAGCACACTGACAGATCTTCCGATAGCTCCTCAGAGTTGGTGACGTTGGCTACCCCTGTTCACTTACACTGGTGCCTGGATCCTTGTCACCCAGAGACCCACCTGTGGCTGGAGTCTTTGATAAGATATATTCCTTTCCTCCAAAGACTGTGGTTCCATCATCAACAACAACAAAACCCAACAACTATCAGACATGTCCATCCCATAACCCCAGTGTGGGGTGAGGCACGGAGGCAGGGCATAAGCACTCTTTATTCTCTTGAAAGGTGACCATAAAGCCATGAAAGCTGCAACATGCAGAAAGAGGCCTGCAGGGAGGAGGACGAGGAAGAGGGAGGAGGAGGAGGAGGAAGAGGAGGAGGAGGAGGAGGAGTGCCTGTGCCTGCTGGATGATGCTGAACACAGTTCAGCCTCAACTGGCTGGTAGACCACCAAGTGTGCCCCACCCCCATGCCTTTGTTTCAGTATGCAGCCACTCCTGGGGAAGGGTGGGCACTGCTCTAGGCTCTTAGCCACCTGTTTACGTTGGGTTACCATTTCTTTGCTTTGCTTTTGGCAGCTATCCCTCCAGAAGTAGGCGTAGAGAGTTTGGAAAAAGAAATTGAATAAATTTGAAAAGTCGTCTTTGGCAGCTCTCAGTACTGTTTAATAAAGCAGGAAGCAGTTTCAAACTTTAAGCTAGGAAAATAAGTCGAAAGAGACCTTTACGTTCACAGTCATTAAATCGAGAAGGCTCAGTTTGTGGTGCTAATCTTAAAATCTTTTGGCACATGGTTTCTTCTTGAATATAAGCATAGATTCTAGCTTTAGGGCCCAGAAAACATACCTACCCCTGGTTGAACAGACAAATGTATGTTAAGATTCCATTTTCCCTGTGAGCAACACCAGCATTTTGAGAATTTTAGACCTGCATCTTCCTCCTCCTCTTCCTCCTCCTCCTCCTCTTCCTCCTCCTCCTCTTCCCCCCTTTTAAGACAGTGTCTTACTATGTAAACCAGGCTAGCCTGGAACTCATACCTGCTTCTGCTTTTAGAGTTAAGGGTATGGACTACCACACAGGCTATCTGTATAGCTATTTTAAAAGCAGTTTATTTTTCCTGTGGCAATTCCTTTGCCCCAGCAGGGCCCCTTTCTCAGTGTAGCAGTATGGAAGAAATACTCTAAAGACTACCAGATGTCTGTGTTAATAAAAACTGTGTCTGTTCTCTTTGAATGCTATTATGCATCTTACAGTGGTTTCTTCTTGGGGGCTTGGAGCATAGAAAAACTTGAAACCTTTAAGAACGTTTCATCATTTTAAACCTTCATCATTACTGAAAATGCAAAAAGATTGAGCTGATTATTAGTTTAGAAAGATAAATGGTTCTTGTCAGCCTGGTCGTTTGAGATTCTCAACACAGTCACTTACATTTGTCACCTCTCTTGTCCTAAGTCCTCTCCTTACTTTTCTCATGCTAGCCCCTTGAGTGACAAACACAAGCAGAGTTGACAACTGGGAAAGTGAGGAGCTTATGTGGGGTTCAGAGCCTCACCAATGGCTGGAATTCATTATTGTACCTTTAAGCACATGGGCGAGATTACCACAAGTCACCAAAGAGACAAAGTTTATCGTCTGGCCTCTGTGGCAACTCAGATAACCTTTTCAGAACTTTGGACAATAAAAACAATATCTGAATTTTCAGAAATTTCTGTGGCATGCGTACTTTGTAGTGAATGTAGCGTGGAATGTTGAGTGTACTAAGGGTAGGCTCAAGGAGAGCAAACCTGGAGAAGGACTATAAAATAAATGCAAATGCATGGTGCTTTACTTGGATTTATGGAGCCCTCTGATGTTAGAGGCAATTAAGCCAGCCCAGGTGCAGCTAGGGAAGAAACTAGATGTTGTAACTTGTTGTATAACGTAACCAGGAAATAAGCGGGCTGTACGCAAGGCAGATCAAAAGGTGACTAAGTGGAAGGACAAGACAGAAGGCCATCAAGGCAGGTTGCTGCAAGGCTGGATCTTCCAAGTAGAGGGATGGTTCCTATCCAGAGCACAGCAACAGGAGGTGTGGCCAGGGTCAGCTGCTGGGGAAGCCTGGCTTTCACCCATCACCAGGCATCCCTGGGAAGGACTTTGAGCAGAAAGATGGAGGGTATTCACAGGCAGCAATGACAGCAAGCAGCTTGGAAGGTGGGCTCCCTGGAGGGAAGAGGGGCCCTGGAGTCACAAAAACTCTTGCCACTTCTAAGCTGGGAGTAGGACCAAGGAGGCCCAGAAGGCAAGAATAGACTGGGTCTGGAGAGTTCTGAGAGGTGGGCTGGGGAAAAGGCTCAGCGAGAACTGCTTGTCTGGCAAGCATAAGGACCTGAGTTCAATCCCTATAACCCATTAAAGAGTGCCTTTAAAACATTATAATGCTAACTTGCTCCATTTAAGTTTTTCTGACATTTTATTTACTGATTTAAAGAGGGAGCGTGCCATGCTACACCCTTAGAAGTCAGAAGACAACCTGTGGGGAGTCTCCTTGTGCTCCCTGTGAGGGCCTAGGGAATAGAGCCAAGGTCTTCAGCCCTGGCTGAATGGTCCCTCATCCACTGAGCCATCCCTCTCTACCTGCTCTCTGCTTAAAAAAAGAAAGTGATCGACTGTGAAATTGCAAAGCTAGTTGAGCTTGTTTGGTTGTTTTCTGCAGCACTGGGGATAAAACTTGGGTCCTTGCACACACCGTGCTGATTGCTGTATCCTTGAGCCACACCCCAGCCCAGCAGGCGGCCTCAGATACTGTTATCCCAAGCCTCAAGCATTCTCTCCTTCTCTTGCAGGCATATCTTTTTCTTGCACATTAAAGAGTCCCTCTTGGCAGGCCACCTCCAGTGCTCCCCAGAGCAGGCAGTGGATCTTAGCGCCCTCCTGGCACAGACCAAATTTGGAGACTACAACCAGAACACCGCCCAATACTGCTATGAGGATCTGTGTGAGAAAGAGCTCTCCAGCTCCACTTTGAACAGGTGAGGCCGCCGGAGGCTAGCATGCTTGTTCACACCCGCCGACTTGATAAGAATCAGGAAACTGGCCTGCCGGGTGGTGTCCAGAAGGAGTTTAGGAGGTGGAGCCCAGGCCATTGCCAGGTTTATCCAGTCATTTTCAGAAGATCCATGTGCCTTTTACTTGAGACACTTACTAATACAAAACTGTCCACACAGATAAATGCCCTTATGTGAAATACTATAAATAACAAGGTTCTCAAAAGTGCCTGACCTTTTAAATATGCAAATCTCCTACAATAAAAGTCTAGCATGTTTATTGGTGTTTGCTTCGTCCAGGCAAGAATTAGAGCAAGCAGCCTAATATAGGTAGCTGGCTCAGTTACCTATTCCTGTGTAACAAGCTAACTCCCAACTCAGCAGCTTAAAACAACAGACATTATCTGATGCTGCCTGGGCAGGGACACAGCTGTGGCTTGGAGGCAGACCAAGCCCCAGAGATCAGTCTCACCTAAAAGCGCAACTGCGGGAAGCCTCCGGGTCCACAAGACTCCTGTAGCTTCTTTGCCAGCCTCCTTCTTGTGCCACCTGATCTCAGGGCTCTTTCATGGTATGGTAGCTGGTTCACCCAGCATGAATGATCCAAGAGCAAGAGAGAAGAGCCAGGAAAGAAATCAGACCCCGGGGAATAATCTCAGAAGTGAGTTTCATGCCAGGTCTTCCACCATTTTCTGTTCATTAGAAGCTAGTCATTAATCCAGACCACACTCAAGGGAAGTCTACACGAGGAGTCCAGATCACCAGAGACCACAAGAAAGACAGCCTTGTCACAACAGAGACTATAGAACTATGTTCTTCTCAGGCCCCTGTGGTGCTTGCCTATCAGAAAGCTTGTGAAGTCTGTGTAGATAAACACAGGAGGGGATCTAGCCTACACGTTTGTCTTATATGTGTGTTTAGAGATTTTCCATAATTCTTTTACCAAATGATGCATTCTCAATATTTGTTGAGATCTTTTTAAAGGTGTGTGTGTGTGTGTGTGTGTAAGACAGCTGGTGTGAGTGAGCTCCTTCCTTCTACCTTGTGTGTCCCAGAGATCAAACTCAAGCTTGGAGCAAGCACCCTTACCCACTGAGCAATCTCACTGGCCCCAGAGTGGAGATCTCGAGCCGCATCTTACAAGTATTTCACAAGTGAATTCGATTAGTAAATGAGACAGGCAAATGTCATCTGGTGCTTTTGTGGTTCGTAAAATGATCATATTCATCATTCGCTTGTGAAAGTTCACAGCTTTAAGGAGGGCGTAAATTGATCTGTCTAACCGAGTGCCGTTGGGTGCCCCACAGCATTGTTGCGAAGCATAAGGAGCTGGAGGGCATCAGCCAGGCTTCTGCAGAGTACCAGGTTCTGCAGATCGTGTCAGCCATGGAGAACTATGGCATAGAGTGGCATGCCGTGAGGGACAGCGAAGGGCAGAAGCTCCTCATCGGGGTTGGACCTGAAGGCATCTCAATCTGTAAAGAGGACTTTAGCCCCATTAACAGGTAACCCGAGTCTTCAATACACATTCATATACATATACACATGCATATATGCATACATACGTCCCTACACTCCTAAGCATGTATATCCAGGTAACCCAGGTCTTCAATACACATTCATATATACATGTGTACATGTATACATACATTCATACAATCCTATGCATGTATATTCACCTGTTGCTTTTTTTCTGAAAATAGAAAATGGGCAGAGAGATTCACCAGACACCTCTATGAATAAAGTGATTAATTTGTTAATTAATTCATTAATTGCATTCAGAATTATTGTTTTTCATAAGGTACTCAGGCCATAAATACCTGTGTCTGCTTCTGCATACATGTGCACACACACACACACACACATACATGAGGCTACTCCAACACCTACCTGTTTCCACACCACAACTGCTCGTCCTGCTCAGCCTCAGTGGGTAGCCTCATCACAGAACTCCCCAGGCTGAGTGTCTGACTCCCTGCAGGGTGGTGGGCTGCCCTCTAAGCTGGGTCAGCACCAGGCTGAGCTCTCCCTTCTGAACTTGCTCACTTTTCTCCTCCTGCCTTTCAGGATAGCTTATCCTGTGGTGCAGATGGCCACCCAGTCAGGAAAGAATGTCTACTTGACCGTCACCAAGGAGTCCGGCAACAGCATCGTGCTTCTGTTTAAAATGATCAGCACCAGGGCAGCCAGTGGGCTCTACCGAGCCATCACCGAAACGCACGCATTCTACAGGCGCGTACCACTGTGTGTCTCCTAAGCTTAGGTCACAGCTTAGTGTGCTTGGGGGGCAGGCAGGTTTCTGTGATTTTTTTCCTAGCCTTGAGTCCATGAGACTTGTACAGAATAGGAGAGCATAGCTACTCTGAATATCTCAATTTGCAGAGCTAGTGGAGCCCTTATCAGCACAGAATTATGTATGCCTGGGCTTCACGTACAGACTCCTCCTTAGCTCTCACCTTATTTCCTCCCAAGCCACCTCCCAGCATGAGCCCAGGAGTTGAGCCTGTTCTGCCAAGGTGGCATCCTTTCCCAGAACAGTGGCACAGGTCTCTCCCTGCTGAGAAAGACCCTGTCCTGAGCTCTTATGCCTTAAACACTCCGGATACTTATTCAATTGAATTTAATTTTACTTGGTGTTTTTTGAGATCAAATCTCACTGTGTGTCCAGAGCGCACCTGGAATTCACTATATACCTCAGGGTGGCCTCAAACTTAAAACTGCAATCCTCCAGCCTCGGCTTCCCGACTGCTGGGATTGCCTGCATGGACCACTACACCTGGCCACGGTGAAGATTCTTAAATAACACTGCAGACTCTAGAGGGTGCTTTTCAAGCTGGGTTGTGATTAGGTTCCTACTTCGAAAAAATTAAAGCCAGAAATGTAATCAGTAGGAAGCCTTCAAATGTTTTGTGTTAAAATCGACTTCAGAGCAGAACAGAAAGTATGTAGATATGCTTAACATGAAAGCCATGACTTCAAAGAACAAATGTCCCTTTGCTTCCACAAGCTGCTGGGTGGCAGCTCACCTCCCCAGGGAGCTGGGGTGTCTCATCTCCATATTTACAGTTGCTTCCTTGAAAGTTTTTGGAGACCCCTGAGAAGTGCAGGGGTAAAGTCACTGAGCTACCGAGCATATAAAATGGAAAGTTACTCTCAGACGTGCACAAAAGAATATTAACTGTCTTGGTGAGGGAGGGGTGTAGCTCCATTCATGCGGTGCTTGCCTAACATGCATGAAGCTCCACGTGAACTGAGCATGTGTACATCTATGTAATCCCAGCAGCACTCGGGAGGTAGAAGCAGGAGGATCATGAAGCTCCAAGCCAACCTTGGCAGCATAGTTCAAGACCAGCCTATGTCATGTGACACTTTATCTCAAGTGGAAAAAAAAAAGCTGGGTATGGTGGCATATGTCTTTAATCACAGCACTCAAGGGACAGAGGCAGGTGGGTCTCTATGGGTTAAAAGCCATCCTGTTCTATGCGGTGAGTTTCAGGACCTACATAGTGAGATCTTGTCTCAACAAAACAACAACAATATTGAATGTCTTTTAAGCCAGGCATGGTGGCATACAACTGAAATGCCGACAAGCACAAGGACCATTACGTTTCAGGACAGCTTGGGGTCCATTATCTCAAAAAGCAAATAAGTAGGGCGATAGGTGGATAGTAGAGAGATCTACTATCTAGATTATGGACAGATGAATGACAGTAGGTAATAGAAGATAGATTGATAAGTGGATGATAGAGATAATCAAAAGAGAGAGACAGAGAGAGAGAGAGAGAGAGAGAGAGAGAACACCAAATGTCTGTTGATATACTGTTTTTATTGATAGCAGCATCTGCTAGTCTGAATTATAAAGCTCCCTAGGCTTTTCAATACTGAATCAGATGTTCACTCTCCCTTACCTGTAGGTGTGACACAGTCACCAGCGCCGTCATGATGCAGTACAGTCGTGACTTGAAGGGCCACTTGGCGTCTCTGTTTCTGAATGAAAACATTAACCTTGGCAAGAAATATGTCTTCGATATCAAAAGAACATCCAAAGAGGTCTATGACCATGCCAGGAGGGCTCTGTACAATGCCGGGGTTGTGGACCTTGTCTCGAGAAACGACCAGAGCCCTCCCGGCTCACCTCTGAAGTCCTCCGACAGCAGCATGAGCTGCAGCAGCTGCGAGGGCCTCAGCTGCCAGCAGACCCGCCTGCTGCAGGAGAAACTGCGCAAGCTGAAGGAAGCCATGCTGTGCATGGTGTGCTGCGAGAGGGAGATCAACTCTACCTTCTGCCCCTGTGGCCACACTGTGTGCTGTGAGGGCTGTGCAGCCCAGCTGCAGGTAAGGACTCATGTTCCTGCCCGTTCGGGATCCAATAGGTGTCTTCTGTTTTTTTGTTGCCTCCTGATTTCTGGTGCCACTTACTAGGAATATCTGTAGTTTTTGCCCAATATTCAAGCTAAAGAATGCATATATTTTTGGATTATTGTTACTAGTGACTTATTTACCATATTTGTGATTAATTTATCTTTTTTATATTTGCATTTATGCGTGTGTGTGTGTGTGTGTGTGTGTGTATCCACCATAGCACACACATGGAGGTCAGAGGACAATCTGCAGGAGTCAATTCTTTCTTTTCACCATGTAGTGCTGGGAATCAAAATTGTGTTGTCAGGCTTGGTGGCAAGCATCCTTACCCACTGAGCAATTTCACCAGCCCCTTAATGTCCTTTTATTACTGTTGATACTTTTAGAGGTCTCTTCCACCGGCTGTTTCTTGCTAGCAAGTCAAACTCATTTTCATAGGAAAATAAAAGCAACTAATATATAGCATTTCTCCTTCTTGGACCTTACATTTCCTCATACAGTAAATTTTTACTTGATTTCACCTCTCAAAAGTTTCTGCTAAATGTCACTGTGGATGTATGTAAAGCCAGCCTTGCATGTCACCTAGGCCTCACAAGGTACAATTACAGAGCTAGCGTTAGGATTGAACAGTAGCTCAAGACACCTACACCGTCTCAGAACACAGCCTGTGCTAATGCCATGAGGGGTTCCCCTCCAGAGTCCTGGGCTTATCTTTTTCTGCCCTTGAATTCTGACTGTTGCCTGTTTCCCTAATAGCCAATGAAGGGTGTGTGCTAGCCAAAAAGCCACTGGAGGCTTGTTGCTCCTGGCCACAAGAGCATCTGACACTGACACTGACCCCAAGATAGTTGAGCCATGGTCTATCTACAGACACATCTTCAACATGGTGGCCAGAGGCGCAGGGACCTCCTGTATGCATGACTCCAGCCTGGAGCTAACAGAAGGGTTGAGACAATAGCTGGACTAGTAAACTCTCTGCTCTGCATTGCAGGGCACAGGGACCTGAATTCAGCCCCAAGAACCCATCTAGTTAAAAACTAGCTGTGTGGGAGGGGGTCAGAGGTTGAAACAGTTGCAGGAATTCTTAATCCTAGTGTTAGGGAGGTAGAAACAGGAACCCCAGGGCCCACATACCAGCCAGACTCGCTTAACCAGGATTCTCTATGTGAGAGACCCTGTCTCCAGAAAGAGGGTGAAGACTCTGAGAACCAACACATGAGGATGACCACATGCACGAGACACACACACACACACACAGAGGCATGCACATTTTCATAAAAAATATAATTTTCTTCAGTGGATGTCTTTTCCTAACACTCATTGTTAGTCCTTATAAAGTTAAACATTCTGGCCTGTTCCAGAGCACCTAAGAGCTTAGAACTGGATGGCAATGGTATCTTATCTAGAAAACTGACTGTCAGGGCTAAACAAAGCGGAAGTCCCAGGTCCCACGAGTATCCTAACCAGCAGTGGCTTCTTTTCCAGTCCTGTCCGGTCTGCAGATCACGTGTGGAGCATGTCCAGCATGTCTACCTGCCCACCCACACCAGTCTTCTCAACCTGACTGTCATCTAATGCGTCCTGTGCTTACTGGACAAGCCATGTCCCCACAAGCTGCAGCATTGTAAATTATAAGAATAATAACTTTGTGAAGAGATATCTCACTCACAATACCCATCTGCCATGAGACATTTTCAGAAACAAGGAAGAAAGGAAAAACAAGAATACCATCACACCTCTTCCATGATGTGATGCAACAGTCCCTGTGACAACCAGGAAGAGCTCTGGTACATGGACACATTCCTTGGACTTTGGGGTTTTTTTGTTTTTTGTTTTTGTTTTTCTTTTAATGATCAAGTAAAGGAGTAGATAAAATCGTCTTTGTCAGTCAAGTGGCAACGTTGCCCAACAGTGGGCACCTTTTAGGAAATTATGTCATATGTCTCCTTCACTTTTCCCGAGGCAGCAGATTTTGTAAGAGTTTTAAGGATTTCCTTGGTTCTTTTTGTATGGTCATGGCACGCTGAACATTTTTAATGGGGATTTTTTTTTCTTAAAGAAATAGTCCTCATTATAAAGTTATTTCCATCTTTATAACTCGTTCAAGAACAACTGGAAAGCTAGCAGACTGAAAAAGCCATCCCGTGACTTCTCAAGGGTTGACAGCAATGTTGTCAGATTGGAACCAGTCTGGCTGAAAGCCAACAGGTAACTCACCGTGGGTGACTTCTTTCCTAGCCCTTCTGTCTCCCTCACTCCGCACCCCACACCTTTCACCGAGAAAAATGCTACCAGTTTGGTTAAAAGACAGACATGGCATAGCCAAGCACTCCCTGGGCTTTTGAGATTAGAAAGTGAGAGTGGCTTCCTTAGAAGGAAAAAGCTGAGAGAGGGAGAGAGAGAGAGAGAGAGAGAGAGAGAGAGAGAGAGAGAGAGAGAGAGAGAGAGAGAGAGAGAGAGAGAGAGACCCAGTGTGCCAGTGCCGAGTGGTTCTTCACTTCCCCGTGCACTCCCTGCAGCTGCACCCGTGGGTGTTGCCTTGCTTGAAGATCAAACTTTCTACAGCCTTATAGGTTTCTAGATAGTATCTCCTTTTTGTGTTTGTCTTATTTCCCTTTGTTCATGTCTTCCTAAGTTAGTGCTTCCGTATTCATTGTACTGCCCCCTCAGTGTCTTCCAGAGATGGGGCTACTTCATTATGTTTCCATATTCTGAATCCTGTTTTCATCCCCCACTTGGGCATTTTGGAAGCTAGTGAGCTAGGGGTTTTCTAGGGTGTCAGGAAACCTAGTTGACCTCATCGGGTGCAATACTAGCTAAGTTAAAGCTAGAAACCTACACTGTCACTTTACTGAGATTTCTGAGTCTACGTTTCATATTGCCTTAATGTAGCAGTAATGTGTTTATGCATTTGTTTCTTTGCACAGACATTTTGTCAGATATTAAAACTCTACTTTTTTATGGCACATATTAGCATATAAGCCTTTATTCCAAGAGGTATTTATTTTTTCACTTGTAAAAAAAAAATAATGTTTCCACATTTAAAAAAAAAACCAACTCTGTTATATCCTAGAGGACTTCTGTCTTTTATATTCAGGATAATAAAGACTTTAAAGCAAAGTGAGTATTTGTGTTCTCTTGGTCATCGTCATTTAAGCTGTTTTTGCAGATGAGTGGACACTGACCTCAAGGTTGGGAAATTTAAGGTTTTAAGGTGTCTTCATTGAGAGGATCTGCCCAGCTCTTCTTTCATCTGATTTTGGACATACAAGGTTTGAAGGTAGGTGAAGACAATGCTGTGACAGACGTGGCAGACAGAAAGGATAGCTTGGGGAGGAGGGAAGCAAGATGGCTCACCCAGTAAAAGTGCTTGCTACACAGGTTTGATTACCTGAGTCTGCTGATCCCTGGAACCCACATAACGATGAAGAGAAAACAGCCAACTTAACAAAGGTGTCCTATGACAGCCACACATGGGGCTCACAGGGCTCAGTCATAGCAGAAATGTACTGTGGTGTCCAGGACTGCCTTCCTACAGTGCCTCCGCATGCAACTTCTGGGCCTTAATGGTCTTTTGTGTTGGTGTGTGCTCATCTGTTTACTTTGTGTGGTAGAGAATATTATAAAATATCTCTACCAGATACCCTTAAAATTGGGAGACAGACCCCAACACAGCCTCCCGTTGGTTTCTAGGAATCAGTTCACTTATTCAGCATATTTATCGGACATCAACTGAATGGTTAATGAGTCCTAGAACTTTAAAAAAAAAAAGTAGTCTAAACCACAATTTATCACATACCCAAGAGTATCAGTGTCTTTGTGATTTACAGTGTGTAGTGCCTGTGACATGGATGGGTGCTTCTGTATGGAAGTTAAATGATGTTCAGATTTGTATGCATGGTAGTTTCAGAATGATAACTAGGATGGATGGGTAGATGACTGACAGGTCAACAAATAACATTGCTTGTACTCTATGGGCCAGGGACTCCTTAAGCTTAGCAACCAGCATAAAGCCCCATGTATTACTTAGTATTTTAGAAGCATAAAGGATGACACACTGTTGAGCATAGGAGATACTGGTTACCTCTGCTTAAGGCTCAAGGTAAATATACTTCAGAAGGACCTTTGAACAAAATTTTCATTCTGTAGTTGGGAAAAGACCACAAGGCCCCTGTCAAGGCTACAGTGCAGCCTGTGAGTCTTGCCTGTGCTCACCTGTCAATGCAGTGGTAAGAACTTAGGCTCTGAAGGAATGTGCAGCATGGGGAAACAGTGGATGGAACCTTCAGTTCCAGGTTTGACTTTGGTACTCTACTGCCTTCAAAGCCAGGAACTGGTAGGGAAGGCAAGCTTGTACAACAACTAATGCATGAGACAGGAGAGCAGAGAGACAGCTCCGTTTTGATTACATATTGACATGAAGAAGACAAGGAAAATGGGCCAGGGAGATGGCTCAGTGGGCAAAGACTGATGAAGTGAAAAGAGACGGATGGAGAGATGGCTCACCAGTTAAGAGCACTGGCTGCTTTTGCAAAGGACCTTGGTCAGATTCCCTGCACCCACATGGTGGTTTACAACCAATTGGAACCCCATTTCCAGGGGATCTGATGCCCTCTTCTGGCCTCTACATGCACCAGACAAAACATGTGAGACACAGACATACATGCAGACAAAACAACCATACACATATATTTTTTAAAAAAGAGGTGGATGGTGAAAGCTCCATAAAGTTGGCCCCTGACCTCCACATGCACCCTGTGGCATGTACACACACAAACATACCATGCACACACACAATAATAACGAATAAGATTTATTTTTTAAGGATAAGGCAAATAAAAAGACTTGTTGAGGCATGTCATAAAGATTGAGAACAACTGAAAGAAGGAGGAAAGGGTTAGTGACTCTCCACGATATGACCAAATACATGACAAGAAGAAACCTGGGAAAGGAAGGGTTTATTTTGACTCAAACTTTAAGAGGTGATGCATATGCTCCATCACGAAAGGGAAAGCACGGCAGCAGGCACACGAGGTTGCTGGTTGCACTGTGCCTGCCATCAGACATCGGACAGGGAGTGGGCTAAGCTGACGTCAGAGACCCACTCTTTTTAGCAAGGCTCTTCTCCCTTAAGATTTCACAATCCTCCAAGTCAGCACCAGTGGCCGAGGACCAAGTGTTGAAACACATGAACCTGTGAGGAACCTTTCACAACCAAATCACAGTAGGAGCAATCCATGGGAATAGAAAGGAATTCGCTTTGGATCCTGGAAGGCTAACATTTGTGATACTTGGAAACACCTAGAACCAGTTGGCAGCCAGGGTCGGGACTTCTGGGGTCAGCACTGCCGGAGTCAAGACTTCTGGGGTTGAGAAAGAAAGAAGCACTTTGTGTTAAAGATATGAAAGTGACAAAAGAAGTTGCTGGTGCCCCAGAGGAGGCAGGGCTGAAACGTGCTCTTGGAAGTTGTTTTTGTTAAAAAGCAACCATTTCTTTTTCCCCATGGGCCTTCAAGATAACTAAAAGATGAAAGCCGAGCACATCTGCCTTCTTTTTGTCCCTGTCTCCTTTTACTTTGGCTGAAGAGACAGAGACAGAAATCAGTGTCCTTAATCTTTCCCAGAGAAGTCACCTTGGATTCCCAGCACAGCAGAAGACAATGGGACACAGAGTGGCCACTCCTAAAGATGACAATGATTATCCATGAAAGCCAGGTTGTACCCTAGAATGATTTTGTGGGGACCATCCTCTAAGCAATGCAGCCATAAGGAAGGACTTCTTCAAAACACTTCCCTAAAATAAGACTGAGACAGAGACCAACTGATACATTGACTGGATGTTTGATTATGCACACCCCTTGTTCTCCTGCCTCAGTTCCTCCTCTAATTAAATCCAAAGCCCATGCCAGTACTGAGTGAAGGAAGGAGAGAGGGAGGGAGGGAGGGAGGGAGGGAGGAAGGGAGGGAGGGAGGGAGGGAAAAGAAAAAGACATGACTGCTCCTGGGTATGGTGGAGGAGAAAGTTTATTATAGATGTGGGGAGAGCATAGCCAGAGGCAGACACATCTGGGAGAGTCCAGAATGGTCGTGACCCTGTACCAAGTACAGCAGCCAGGAGGCCAAAGGTGCAAAAAAAAGGGGGGGCAGGTAACCAAAATGTCTGGATTATATAGGGAAGAGCCTCTAGGGGAAGGGCAGCCTGGCTCCTGGACTGGAAAGTTCAGGGTAGAGGACAGGATATGTCAGCCACATGCTGTAACAGGTAGGGACTGAGGGATGCTGGGAGAACCTGGAGGCCAGGTCAGATTTGATATGTTAAATAGGTACCTCAGCCACGTGTTCTGGGTCTGAAACTTAACAAGTACCCCAAAGATGCCCTTGGGGTCTCCAGGCCCCTTTATTTATTCCTCCTTCCAATGTCATCACATTGAGTAAATGTGTTTTCACCATTACTTTTCTCCTTAGTTGACAAATTGGAGCCTATAAAACTCCACTATAGACCCAGAAGTGTTCTGGTTCTGTGGTTCAGATGGGAGCACGTGGGTCAACAAAGAGAGAGTAATAAACAGGGACCCCAGGACCTTTGAAACCCAACTGGCTGATGCCACTTGGCGCTGATGATCCACTTTACAACACTTGAGGAAAACCCCTTCCATCCCTTTCTTGAGGGTTGCAGAAATAAGTAGAAAGTAAACTGTGTTTCCTCACCTCCTCCTAGCACTAATGAGTATCCTGTCACAGGATGAGGGGCTCAAAGACAAGACCAGTTCATTCTGGGAGCTGTCTCCATACCATCCACTGAAAATGAGGAAATCGTGGGCCTCATAGGAGAGCATGTGTAGATAAAACCTGGACAAATTTCTACAGACAGCTTGGGAAAGAAATACTGCATAGAGTAAGAATTTGTGGAGATTCCTGAACCGAGGCACTGAGATAAAGTGTGGTATACTTACTGTTGCAGCACAAGGGGGTGCAAAGGATGCTTGTGGGTTTACAGCACCGAAGAAACCAACAGGACTGGAGGTGTTTGTTTCCAATAAACTTCGCCAGCATATATTAGTTGCCAAATAGTGACGCGTCTCAATGTGACATTTTTCATACACGTGTGGGATGTAACTTGATCACACTCACGTCTCTTCCTCTCTCTTGTCCCTCTTCCCTTGGTGCTCTTCCTCTTCCCCAAACAGTCCCCTCCACCTTCAGATTTTTTATTTCAACCTGGATTTCAGGTTGTACTGTTCTGTCTGTACGTATATATTGCTTAACCTCATAATCTCACAGTTTGTGGTGGTAGTGGTTCATTTTAGGTTTTTTTTTTGTCTTTTTTTGTTTTTGTTTGTTTTTGTTTGTTTGTTTGTTTGTTTGTTTTGAGACAGGATCTCCTGTAGACAGGATTCCAGGCTGTCTTGACACTCCTGGTCCTCCTACCTTTACCTCCTAAGTACTGATTTTACAGCCATGCATTATCACGCCCATTACGGGTTTGCTACTGTAGAAAAGATCCTGAGTGGATTTTGAGCACAAACATTGAAGAAAAAGAAAATGCCCATATTTCTGTGTTTCTTACTGGGAGTGTATCCCATGCCTTCTCACAGAAATCCTAAAACATTTGCAAATCCCTTCTATTTCATATTTGTTTGAATGAATTTTATTCTAAAAGCTGTGAGTTATTAAAGAGTTCTCCCTTTGCCTCTCTAATGCAAATCACAGATTGAACACATCTGCCAGTTACTTAAAGCAGTGTGTGCTTCGAGCAAAGCCAAACATCTGTTCTTACAGCGCACACAGCAGTTGTAACAGGAAGAAAAGCTTGGGAGGGGTGAACCCTCCCATCAAGGCTATTCTTGAGCTAAGAAGAAAGTCCATATGTGTGTTTATGAAACAAAACACTAATCAATAGCGCTAAAACCCAAAGCAATACACACGCTCATGTGTTCATCCCCAAATGAATGCGAGCAAGTGGCAGAAGGCGTTCACAAGAAGTTAGAGTCTTTGTCCTGAAGGAAGCTTAGAATTTGAGTGACAGGAAAGGCAGACAAAGCATGAGAACAGGGAAGTGTCCAGAGGTCAAGAGCAAGAACACAAAAACCTGACAAAGGCAGACAGAGGCCTTGGCTGCTCCTG